TCCGAAATTCGAAACAACCACGTGATCTTCATAATTCCAGCCAGAGTTACTTGACTTGAAGCTTAAGTTTAGCCAAAACGAAATAAATCGAAATTTTTGCTTAAATCGATCGAAATTTTTGGTTTAAATCGAAAGAATATTTCCGTGTCCCTGTCAAACATACGGTGTGTATCACGTGACCAAAGATCTATTTTCACACTCATATAACGATAATCAGATGGGTAAAAGTGTAGAAGGTTTTTCAAAAGTCACATCACGATTTATTATATAATGATAACTCCAGTTTTTAATGTCACTCAAGATCAAATGTTTGTCACGATTAACATTCGTGCACCTTACATAAAGGTATTGTTCTTTGTATATGCCATATGTTAAGAAAGGTTAAATAACCTGTACTTACTATCATTACTTAAGGTGGCAGACATCGAACTGTATAGCGATGGTCCTGACTTTACCTTTCACGCGAAACCCTATTATTTACGGTCAGTCGCAAAAAGAAAAATAAAATAAAATAAAAATATGATTAATTCATTATTATTACATCCAATTAAATTTAGTAAATTAAAGTCTTCATTTTCCAGGCAATTTAGTAGAGGATGAACGTGTTAAAGCTTCATATGACATAGCAAGTGGTGAAATATTAATGCAGATACCGAAAGAGACCCCTGGTGAGGATTTTCCAGACCTGGATTTGTTGACAAAGCTTTTGGCTCCGAGGAAAATTAAAGTTCCCGAAAAACCGTCTATCGAAGTTGTTGGGGAGATCAATGACACTGGTGATCTTAATGATGATCTTAATGATGATCTCATGAAACGATTAGTTGAGAATTTTGAAAATAATTCAGAACAAAATAAAGTATTTGATAAGCCTTTAATTCAGGAAGTCATCGATAAATCTGACGATCCTGAAACACAAAAATTACGAAAGTTGATAGAAGAAGGTATGTGATAAAATTTTTTTAGCAAGTTATAAACACAATGTGAAAAAGATGCTTAATGGTTTGATCTTTAATTAAATAGCTGACTCTTATGATTGGGAATTACCGCAACAAATTCCGAACGAAAAGGTAGAGACGATATAGATTTCAATACATTTTAATGCGCTTGTATCTCATGACACGAGAATTTCGGTATCTCATGACGCGAGAATTTTGAATTTTATCATCTCTTAGGATATTCTCTCAATGACAGCTAGTTATGGTTTTAACGGACTTTATTCCGGTTATTTCACGCATGTGCAAGAAACATGTAACGAAATTATTGATATAATTGATGTAGAAAGTTCTACATTTGAATCCCGTCGTCGGGATCGAATCAAAGCTGAAAATGTTAAGTTTGATCCTGATCATTATATGTAAGTGAACCTATCCCCTATTTTTGTTACTTGACGAAATATTCTGTGGGCTCTTATTCTAAATTGTGATGTAGTGCTGATTTTATGGGTGTTCAAGATATAAAACATCTTATAAAATACAAGACTAATTGGACGAAACTACTTAAGCAAATACAACAGATCAATAAAAATAATGCAAATATGGAAGATGATAAGGTGCTTAATTTCTACTTTAAAACATTATCTCTTAATTCCTCTTAATTTCTCTTAATTCTTAATTTCTCTTAATTCTTAATTCGTTGAAATTAATATAATGACTCATGTACTCATCATTTACAGAATTTGTGTGATAATCCAATTGCCATAACGCAGTCAAAATCTGCGTCAATCACAACAAATGATGAGAATAATAAAAATAGTGATAATATTTTGAAATTCACTGAGAAAGAAACCTTGATGATGATGAATCTGCCAAACAAATCATGTATTTATTGTAAATGCAGTCGTTTGATCTGAAACCTTTCCCATGAAACCAATAATCATTGCTTTCTTCAGACCTTATACAAAACACAGACGCGATATATTTTGGTTTGGTTGATCTATTATACGCGTATAGTTACAATCATAGAGTATATGAAGGCGAAATTACGGTAGAATCCGCGTGGACAATTGGAAAATTAAGTCCAACCATATCATGTCTTGAGGTTCGTAAATTTAAACAATGAAATTAATGTTTAATGTCTAATGCATGCTAAATTCCACAATTTGCCTTTTTTAAGGAATTCAACTCCCTCGAAGAAACAATTATTGCACTATTTCGTCGATCATTAGCATATCCATGGTATCGAAATTTTGAATTATCAGAAAAATGTCTTGACGACGTATATGTTCTTTTAAAATTAGGTCGACGTGCTATTTTAAAGGTTTTGCTTGAACTAAAAGATATATTTGATCATCACGATATTTATTACACATACTCCAAGATATGGCTGGATGATTATTGTATTTGGTGTCAAACTAAAGCCAAGTAAGTTGTACATAATATGTATAAAATTTGAATATTCTTCACTTTCTAAGCTACTTAATATTTCAGTGATAAGGTTATTCGATTATTAGCACATAATGTTCATCATTTCAAGGTGCCAAAATCTAAAATGGGATGGCATCTTGAGGAGTATGAACAATTGGCATTAGAAGATCAATGTGAAAATTAATGATTACACTTCATAGGAAGACATTTATATGATTGGTTAATTTTTGTAGATCTACCGTGATAATTAACCAATCAAATGCATAATTTTTAATTAATACTACGATATTAGAAAACGAAAGAAACCTCGTATAAAGAAGCTTACAAACTAATAAATACACGCGAAAGAATTTATTATTAACATGTAGAGAATAGATAGATACGCATAAAGTGGGTAAATAAGATATTTATTGTCGGGGATGATGCTGGGAATCTGGGGTTTCAATTTACAAATATAAACCCTACTAAAACCCACATATACTCTTTCATTATAAACTCTAACCCTAAATTCTAACTTAACTCTAAAAAAAAAGCTAAAAAAAATGTCCCGAAAAATTTTTAAAACTTTAGATTAAAATAATTCAGATTCCCAGCATCATCCGATTCCCAGCATCATCCCCCACATTTATTATTAATAAACCCAAACTATTAAAGAATCTACCATATAAGATATAAATTAAACCTATTAAAACTTTAACTATTAATTTATGGTTGACAAGCTCAAACACACTACAAGAATTGACCAAATTTATTAAGAATAGGGTGTTTGTAGATTATTTTTAATAGTAATCATGTGGTATTTATATGAAATCATGTGATTGACTAATTAGAATTATAAAAACAACAAACTTGACCAATTAGAATTGGTAATTTTTGTGCAATTTAAGTAAATTTGGGGCAATTTAAGTAAATTTGGGGCAATTTAAGTAAATTTGGGGCAATTTAAGTAAATTTGGGGCAATTTAAGTATTTTTATCAATATATGAAGTAGATTTTTTTAAAAGATAAGTGTTTATAATTTTACTGTTATAAATAAGAGACCTTAAATTATATAATGAAAAAATTTGGTGAAGATTAGTTATGATTCTAAAAAGTTTTATTAGTGGCAAATTTTTGTTGTTTATGTAAAATTTTAATATATTATGTAGATTATATGAAAAATGATTTATGGACACCCTACTCTTAAGCCCAGATCTTCTTGTTAAAGAGCTTGTACTTATTCAAATTTTAACAGTTAAAAATAAAAGTTTATTTAAATCTAACGTAATAAAATAGTTTTAGATAAAAACATTTCTGGTTATTTTCACTTTACAGTATAATTTGATATAGTTTAATAAACAGTAGGCATATTTTGCCTTCTAAGTAAAGTTCACAGAGATATTAATTATTATTGATTATTTTTGCATAGTGAATATAGACATTTTATTGAAGTAAAAAATAGCTTTTATGGTGGTAAAATGTTGTATTCCCAAAAAGTACTTTAAAGTGTATAAATAAGTTACCTGGGCAATTAATTTATATCAGCCAATCAGATGAATATCCTCTTATAAGATCATATTTATAAAAGGTATGTAATAATATTACAACAAGGTGAATCTACACAGCTAGCTAATGAAATCTGCGTTGATTGTCTGTATAAAGTAAAACCTGAGATGACAATATAAAATCTGTGTTGATTGGCTGTATAAGGTAAAACCTGAGATGACAATATAAAATCTGCGTATCGATTAGGCGACACAAATTAATATAATTGATTTTCATATCCCGGCCGGGTCAGTGAAACGGGATCTGAAATTTTTTTTT